AGGCCTCCTGCAATGACCATCCTGGATGGCAAGCGTTCAACACCAAGACCGCGAGGATAACCATGATACCCTCAAGGATAAAAAAGGTGGTCTGATTTCCCATGAGATCACCATCCCATCCCTGGGACAACTCAATGACGCGGAAGATACTTCTAATCAAGATTGCAATTGTCGAGACTGCCAATGCAACAAGGAATGCCTTAAACCTCATGCTGTTTCGGAGACTGGCATGCATGGGGTCAAGCTGACGCTCACCAGATGCAAGTGTAGAACGGACACGCAGGCCGTACTCGGCGCAAAGAGCAATGAAGAGAACAAGTGTAAAGACTTGGAAGCCGAGACCGCCGAGCATGACATTTGTGCCCATCTGTGGTGATTTGCTGTTTGTAGAGGCCATTCCACCACCGGTACCTTGGAGAATGAGGGAAACGAAGTCGCAACTGACAAAGAGCCATGTGTAGGCCTTTGGTGGGATGCGAGAAATGTCTGCGCCAAAGATGACAATGATGCGCGACAAGCAGAGATAGATGCCAGCGGCGAAGAATGCTGGGGAGATTGTAAGAAGCACGATTTGTAGCAGAAACGGTCCTTCAGAAATCATGTCGTTGTAAGCTAAAAGACGGCCAATGTAGCCACCAATTTCCACTAATCAATATAGTTAGCATGCTTTTCATGAGTATCCGGGCCATGGAGTAATATTGTAATGGAACTTACAAGCACAACCAATGCTCATCACTGCCATAAAACTCCAGGTCTTGTATTTAATCCCTTGAACGATATTCGATAACAGTGCAATTGCAAAAAGAGCAGTAAGGAGACCGTTCATTGCTAGTGAAGGTCTGTATTCAAATGCCTCTCGTGGTGGCAGCAGGATCGTGGTGCCATTGGGAAATGTGTAATATTCGTCCGACATTGTTGGTGTTGATCCCGAATGGAACTCTGTTGAAAATTCTAACCAAGAGGATGTGTGATGGATGTTAAAAGCACGATTGATGTGTCTATCGAGACTCTGCTTGTATTGGGCTTGATGTTGCTGAGATAATGTAGATTTGTTTGAACAGACGACGTTGCTATGTAGTAGTTGTTGAAGCGTCGATGCAATGCTGAGTTAATGATATTGATGCTGAAGTAAGTTGATTTATCGTGACAGGACGTTAGTCTTATATATCTATACCCATTTTTGAATCTCGTTGTGTGCCACCATTAAATTATCGAATCCCCCACTGGCGAGAATTAAGCTAAACGCGCAGGTCATCCTGAGTATGCCAGGGCCATGTGGAGGAAGAGTAGAAACTAGGGAGGAGAGACAAGGGATAAGGCGTGTATACAGGCATACGTAGCCATGGATACCAACCAAGGCAGAGCTTCTCCACGCATCCTCTAAATTTTCCCTAAAAAAGAAACACCCTGCCCCGATATCCATGCACAGATAGAGACTGATAGTGCCTTCTCAAACGCGCAGTCTAGGAGACTTTACCGCATTTGGCAGGGCAAAGCCTTGCATGAGTATGTAATTCTATGTTATTAAATCTCTACGTTTGGGTGCTACCACATTGTGTACGTATTTCCGTGTGTAGGTATGGGCCTTCGCCGTGGGCTGTGCAGAATATTTGTGTGATACTTTGAGCCTTAAGTGTCGCTAGAAGGGTGGGATGTAGGGATGTGCGTTCCGGGTACTCTATCGTTCTACCTAGTCTACAGAAGACCAGGGCGCACATTAGTCGGACAGATAGTTCTTCCGCAGTAGAGCATCCATTGCCGCCGCTACCCTTGGTCGCACGGTGCCGGTTCGTGGGGAGCGCCGGGTTTCCGTTGCCGTGTGAGCTGGAACGCGGAACTTCGTCTCTGAATTCTTATCCGCTCGTTTCAAGAGGGCAACGATGCACACCAGAATACCAACTCGAGTAGATCCATACAATCCAGCCCAAGACAATATGATCCAGTCAGCTGTATACTCTACTCGAGTAGGGTGCTCTACGAGTACTGTACCTATGAGTACTCCAACTAATCATGTCAAGCGGAAGGCTCATATCCAATAATTGCGAAGAATCAATAGCTCTACGAGTTCTGGGCATGAGACTAGGTCAATAGAGTACCTACAGCCAAGATCCCACACCACTCACTGGGCCGGGTTGTTAAGTACTCTAGAGTAGTAATTCCTGACACGGAAGTATGCAATTCGTTGCTCCAGCAGCCTTTCCGGACACCGAAACCCCGGATACCTTACACCCGGTTCCGGGCACGGAGAAGAATTTCGGAAGTTCTCGTTCAGCCGCAAGAGGCTCTGTGGACTTACATGTCTACGCAACGCATCCATCGCCTAATATAATTAAATTAACCTTCCGAGTCCACGCGAGCGACCTTATGTATTCTTTATTCTTGTGGCAGTAATCGCGTGTCAAAAGCTTAAACTTTATTACAAACCAGTCTCGAATTACAAAAACTTGAATCAAATTTGACGAGCGACTGATCGGAAACGACAATAAAGCTAGACAAAACAAGAAGCCAAATAAACTTACATAATTTCACCATCTTGTCATATTCCGCGCATCCAAGGCAGAAAATGAATGAGTCTTCAAATACATTGATTTATAATTATATTCATAGAGTCCAGCTAGTATATCCGTTTATGAAGAGAAAGGTGTTCTCTTGCCAGAAAATACCTTTAGTAGTCTACTTTTTCCCATGAATGGATTCGAATTTCAAGACATTCGAAATTCCTATCGGAGGACGCAGATGCAGAATCAAAGCCATTGAGTTACTGAGAGGCTTGAAATCTATAATTCCGAATAGGTTTATTCAAATTGAACTACATCTTCATAACTTGATCAAAAATATCGATATCCATGATCTATTGAACGAGAATATTGATAGTCCGTCAAGCCCTTCAAACATTCCTGCTGCAGCCTTCTGTATGATTTCTTTGGGGGCCAGTTTTGCAACTTCGTGGAAAACAGAGTCGGGCATGGCGGGGCTGTGCTGTATTCTGCCACGTTGCTGCGTAATGCCTGATGTAACGCGGGGGAATCGTTGACCGGCCGCAAATGTGAACTGAATTTTCTGTGTGAAATGCTTACTTACGTAGTTATACGCAGAGTGAAGTTTTAGTGGCTCAAGTTCTGACTGCAGCCACCAATAGTTTTTTTGGCCGCTCTCTCGTTGGTTTCTTGGCTCGCCGCGTCTCGTCAATTAACGAATTCGCTAGCTATGCAGCCAAGTACTCGTAAGTTTATTCTTGAAAACTGGAGTATTGATAGAACAGTACTGGCCATGGTTATAATTTTACCAATTTGCGAAGTGAGGTTGCAACGTACTAGTAGTCTCTCCAGTCAATTGCTCGAGGACAACCACATTCCATAATTCACGCTGTTTAAGCCCTGTACTCAGCCCGGTGAATTAAGCAGATTTTTCAGTATTTCCTGCACTCCCCGAGTAATTAGAGTAGGCAATATTGCAAGGGATGTAAAACGGAACGACTGCAGTACTCTATTTTACCGAGTACAACCTCACTTCGCAGCCTGCTAAAGCTATGCTGTCTGCGTATTCAACTTTAATCGCCAGATGTTCGAGAGTACCGCAAAAATTGGTGAGATCAGGCCCTGGTCTTTTTCCACAGACAGTGTGTGCACGGCCAAAAAGTCATTGAAGCAAGCAATTAGAGTATCTTCACTGATCTTGCTGTGAAGGGAAAAGCTCAAAACACTGACAGGGCCTGACCTCGCTAGTTTTTGCGGCATGCTGCGGAATGTCCTTGCGTAACATGCGCAGACGTTGTAAGCGCTAAATATGGTTGGTAGTCGTAAACCACCATTCGCCACGATCTCGGGCTCACCGACTGTTCATCACGCATATTCCAACGTTTTGGCATCTGAGGCTTGCTATAAACGAGACAACTGGGCACAAAGACTCGTCTAGCCAGCAATTCAGGGCGATATGGCTGTGCACGTGTGGATTACGTAGCCACAGCCATATGCATTACAGCGCTACCAGTAGTAAAGTAGGTAGAATTCTGTACTGAGATCCATTCTTTAGATATTCGAGTACCCTAAAAAACGTGGCTTGCCAAGCTTCAATTTACGTGTCCGAAAGTGAAGGTTGCATGTCAAGATTTTCAATTTCAACCCATATTGCATGCGATCGCGATTAAAATGCATATGTCGACATATCATGACTAGGGGAGCAAGGAAACCCTTTTGATAGTAAACGTACTATTAATGCTCCACAATCTTTAACCAGATCTAGAAAATATAACTAGTCTCATGTACTGTAACTAGTCTGATTCCAAAACTATGGTATTTCAACAGAACTCCGTTAACTGGTTTTACTTGAGGAACCTCTATCCTCAATTTCAAACACCTGGAGCCCCGGGTTATACGAAGTAGGGAACGGTGAGATGGTAGATTCTGCAGTAGCCTCAATTGTATACTTCAATTGTGCCAACTTGCAAAATTCCTCGATTAATCTCAGCTCGGAATGCGAGACATTTGGTGAGAGGGGCCTACAATATCAATTGGAGGAGGTATCAGCTGAGTGGTTTTTGACAACTGAATTATCTAGTTTCGGGGTAATGGAGTACCCAGCATGGATTTGTCAATTGTTGAGTACTTAGTGTAGAAACCTACCGCTAGACCATAAGATCGATCTCGGTGTGTAGGTTTGTACCTTCACACTCACCAACACTCAGGCAGTGAACTAAAGTTTCCAAAGAACCATCCATTACATGCATCCGATTAACTCGGACGGGAAGACTTTCACTCCATGCGTTGGCATACTCATTCTTGCTGGATATTCCAACATTCAATTCCCTTGCCTCCAAGGCCAGTTGGCCTATGTCAGTGAAAGGACTGATCATTTCGAATTCCATACTCTCACACCCAATCGAGCACCCAGCTGCAGCATGACGCTTACCGAATGAAAAAGAAGAGGATTCACATGTACAAATTAAGGCCGACTGCCTTTCAAGGCACTCTCACCTCAACCAGCAAAACATGAAAAAGCAATGCTCTCTGAGAGGATCGAACTCTCGATCTTCGGATATCACAAGGTCTTCTGCCTGCGTCATATTTGGAATATGAGACCGACGCTCTACCAACTGAGCCAAGAAAGCTTGATTGGAATGAAGTTATGCACGTGATAACAATATTCTCCTTTTCTGGTTCACTGGGGCTGTAACGTGAAGATGCATATGGGGCGGAGAAAGATAAACGGCGCCTACAGGATAAGATACTAGGAAGGGGTATGAGACATCAATCATTGGCCGCTGATGTCCACAAAAAAACCTGTGCCAATTGATCGATTTTTCAATATCGCCGAATGTCCGTAACAATAGATCTAGATGGCAATTGAATGTGATCATGAACGAGAATGTGAGAATGAGGATCTCATTGCAAGGCAGACAGCGGCAAAATATGAGACTTTGAACTGCCATGTCATTGATCATGGGAATCATGTATCCAATGGGCTGAATTGTGATTCAGGCGTTGCAATTCGATAGGGAATTTGATAGTGGCTTGTGCGCATGCAGCCTATGTACTCAAGTCAAAAGTCTGGCGATGCCGCCATTCGTAGAATTGAGTTATCTAGTCCATCAGGGCTGCCAAATGTGGTAATTCATTGCGAAAGGTGGGGAGTTTCTGATGACATAGAACTTCGTCTAAAGAACAAGAGAAAGAGAGAGAGCAAGAACAACCGAAACGACAAGCCATGAAATCATGGCTGGTTAGTCTGGACCCAGTGTGGCTTAACCTTAGTCAGCTTTGCCAAGATGACTAAGGCTAGTGGCCGACACTGCCACTAGTCTAAGCCACCGCATCAACAGTATGCAATACTGTCAACACGCCCCCTCAGACTAACCAGCCGAACAACAAGCTCAAAAGACAAACGTTACAAATCCACCAAACCAAACTAACCGATCATAAAGCAGAAAATTACAGTAACCGATCAAAGAAAAACAAAAAACAATTTAAGAACAGAGCAGAATAACATATTCGTGTACAACAGGGGATACCGCACCTCATCACCATCATTAAACGTCCAAGTTCCTGAGACCCAGCAATTTAACAAGAACATCATGCCTTGACGAAGGCAAGGCTTTCGTCATGATATCTGCCTGTGATGACCAGGTCCCAGTGGACAGGAACCAGGAGCGGGTATTGTAGCCGTGGAGGTGGTGGGTACGGTTGGTAGGCTGAATGGAGGCGGGGTATGAGGAGTTGAGGGCGCGGACGACGTACTCGTTGGTTTGGTCTAATAGGTGGCGGGCGTCGGTGATGGGTTCTGAGCCTGGGAGGATGAAGGTACGGCGGGTCGGGAGAGTGAATCCTGGGGCGAGGCGAGGGGTCGAGGCACGGGGCATGGGACGTGGTCAAGGCGGGGTCAAGAGGGGCTGTCTAAGCCACGGAGGAGTAGAGTATAAAATATATTCAAATAACAACTTGTTAAGGTACAGCTGAGGGGAAGAGACAAGTTGTTGCGTGAAGAGGAAAGGAAAAGAAGACAAGACGAGAGGGAGAAAGGACTCCTTATATAGAGATCCTTCTCGAGCTATGGAACTAGAAAGACATGAATAGAATTGCAGCGCCGCGGCTGCGCAGTGGCTGCGCGGCGGCTGCGCAAGGTACATGAGTCAAAGGGAATTACAAATCAACTGCGCAATAGAAACAACTAGAACTTAATGGAAACTGACGGAAACATATGGAAACCTATTGCGCAGTGAAGGTTCGTGATGCTAGAACCTTCTGGTGGTTTCTTCTGGATTCCGAACTAGGAAGTCGAGCAGTGACAGGGATGCGGGCTGTCGTGTTGCAACGGTTACCAGGAACGGACTAGGACGTGGACTAGGTACATGGCAAGGTGGAGTATTGCTAGTAGTAAGCTGAACTCGGCTGGGGTCAGGATCAGGTGAACATGGATCCACTGTGGCTGATAGCGAGGCTGGTGCCGGCGGTGGCTAGGTGCGGGGTAGTCTTGGGTAAGGCTGGAAACTCGGTTCATGACAGTAGCCCCCCTTCTAGAGGAGAGCTCCAGCGATCTTTCTTGGATTGGTTCAAGGTCGTCGTCGATGATGATCGGGTCGTACCAAGATCCACTCATGGTGCGGGAAGGTTTTCTGGTCTGGGTTTTCGTGGGTAAGCTGTGTGGAAGCGCCTAACAATTGCTGGGGCGTTTTCGAGGTCGCTTGCTGGTTGCCAGGTAGGATGATCGTATCCAACCCAACGGACAAGATACTTGAGTTGACGTCGGACAAGTTTGGAGTCGAGAATATCTTCGACTTCCCACTCTAGGTCTTCGTTAACAATAACAGGAGGAGGAGGAGGTTGAACTTGGCCGGCGAGGGGGTCTGTTGCAACAGGTTCCAGGAGGGAGACGTGGAAGACTGGGTGAACTTTCATAGATGCAGGAAGCTCGAGCTTATATGCGTGGCTAGAGATTTTCTGGAGGATTCGAAATTTTCCCAGGCGCTTAAAGTCCAACTTGGTTGATGGGCGAGTGGTGTGGATGTGTCGTCTGAGTAACCACACCTCATCGCCAACTTGGTATGCTAGTGGGGGAAGGCGATGTCGATCGGCTTGTTCTGCATAAATCGCCTGGGACCAGGATATTTCAGCCTGGAGATGCTTGTCCAACAGGCTGAGTTTGGCGGCATAATCCTTGAGTGCTTCCGGGGTTGGCAATGGAACTGCAGGATTGGCAAGGATTTCGTATCGGGGTTGTTGTCCGTAGACGGCAAAGAAGGGCGTAATTCCGGTGGTTGCCGAAAGGGTGTTGTTGTATGCAAACTCGGCCATAGTCAAGAGTTCTGACCAGTTGTCCTGCTGGTAGTTGCAGTAGGCACGAAGGTATTGTTCAAGGATTGCATTAACTCTTTCGGTTTGGCCGTCGGTCTGGGGATGGAAGCTGGTGGAAAGCTTCTGTTGAATTCCAAGGAGCTTGCAGAGGAACCTGGAGAACTCAGATGTAAACTGGGTACCGCGGTCGGTAACAATAGAGTCAGGGAGGCCGTGAAGGCGGAAGATGTTGTCCATGAAGAGTCTGGCAAGGGTTTCAGAGTTGCACTCGGTTGTAGTTGGAATATAATGAGCCATCTTAGAGAGTCGGTCAACTACTACCAGTACAGCATCAAAGCCGTTAGACAAAGGTAAGCCAGTAATGAAATCCATTGAAACTGAACTCCATCTGCGGACTGGGATTTCCAAGGGTTTCAGGAGTCCATAGGGGGCGTGTCGTGCGGGCTTGATCCTCATGCAAGTATCGCAGTTTTGAATGTAACGTGCAATGGTCTTGCGCATCTTGGGCCACCAGTAGTTCCGGGAGACAAGTTCATATGTAGCAGCTCGACCTGGGTGGCCAGCGGCGGGGTGTTCGTGGCACGAGCTAAGGACTTTGGCTTGAAGTTCTTCGTTATCAGGGATGTACAAGAGTTTGTTGACATAGAGGAGGCCATCATTGTAAGTACATTCTCCGAGGGGGACTGTTGGGTGCTTGGTTTCAAAGTTTTCAAGGGCAAGAAGGATTGATTTTCCCAAGGCGTCGGTTCCAAGGAGGTTGCGGATCTCGTTGTTGAATCCAATTGAGGCTGCTGAGAGGGAGTAATCAGAAAATTTGGAGGACGGGATTAGAGCGCGTACAGGTCGTGCGCGTTTATCCCCCTCTTCAGGGAGGTCTCCAGACCTTCGTGTCAATGCATCGGCTTTTCCGTTCTTTTCGCCAGGTCGGAACACAATAGTAAAGTCATATTGTGCTAATTCCCCAGCCCACCGTGCTTGCCGCCGATTCAGGAGTGTTTTGGTCTTAAAGGATTCGAGGTTGTGGTGATCCGTGAGGATAGTAAATGGCTTGGGGAGTGCGTGAAGGTACATGTGCCATTTTTCCAAACAAACAACAATTGCAAGGAGTTCCTTATCACCGATTCCGTAGTTGCATTCGGCTGGTGACATTTTCTCGGACAGGAAAGCAACAGGGTGGAGGACAGATTTGCCGTTCTCAGGAACCTTTTGAGAGAGGATGCCGGAGACCACATAGTCGGAGGCGTCAGTCTCAAGGATTGTTTCAAGGTTTGGGTCAAAGTGCCGGCGGATTGGAGCAGAGGTGAAGGCGGTTTTTAAGCGAGAGAATACTGCATCGCATTCTGAAGACCACGCAAAGGGGGTATCCTTTTGCAATAGTCGGAAGAAGGGTTGACAGATCCGGGAATAACCTTCAATGAAGCGGCGATAGAAGTTGGCGAAACCAAGGAAGCATTGGATGTCTTTGACTGATTTTGGCGTTTCCCATTCCACTACCGCTTTAACTTTTTCTGGGTCCATTTCGATACCTTCTGAGGAGATAACGAAACCGAGGAAGGTGGTCTTTGTAACACTAAATTCGCATTTCTCTGGTTTGACGTAGAGACCAGCTTCCGAGAGCTTTGCAAGAACTTTCCTGACTTGGTCTTTGTGTTCGGCTCGGGTTTTGGAGTATATCAATATGTCATCAAGGTAGACAACACAAAAGACATCAAGGAATTCCCGGAGGGTGTCGTTCACAAATCTTTGACAGGTGGCAGGGGCATTGGTAAGTCCAAAAGGCATGACAAGAAACTCGAAGAGGCCATATCGGGTGCGGAATGCAGTTTTCCACTCATCGCCTTCTTTGATCCTGATGAGGTTGAAGGCAGCTCGGAGATCAAGGCGAGTAAAGTACTTTGAGCCTCGAATCTGGTTTAATGTTTCCTCAATCCTTGGTAGTGGGTAGCGGTCTTTGTGGGTGATGTCGTTAAGGGCACGATAATCCACACAAAGTCTTAGGGAACCATCTTTTTTCTTGACAAAGAGGATTGGTGAGGCGCTAGATGAGGAGCTAGGGCGAATGAATGCTTTGGCAAGATTCTCATCAAGCCATTCTCGGACCTCCTTGAGTTCTGAATCGGACATTGAGTACATACGTCCAAGAGGAGGTTTGGCGCCTGGAAGAAGAGGAATTTCATGATCGACATATCGGTGGGGAGGAAGCGATGAAGCTTCCTTCTTGGAGAACAAGGGCAAGAAATCATGATATTCTGCAGGGACAAGAGCTGAGGCTGGTTCGGGAGTGCTGGGTGTTTCTGGAAGGGAGGCAAGTACACAAATC